GACCGAATTTATAATCGGCCCTTTTGTGAATCAGGCTGCTGCTGGAATGCAAGGATGACCCCTTCCTTCAGGTTCTTCAACGCCTCAATAAAGAGGACTTTCAGCACTATATGTAGAATGGATGAAGGGAGTAAAACAAATTATACAAGCATTCATTTATTCTAAGAGACTTAAAAATAAAAGTAGAGGGGATTGAAGCCAAGCTTCGACTTTTATTTTATAAGTAAAATTCTCATACATAGTACAAGAAGTGTAAATCTAACACTAGGCTACTCCTATGAACAAAAGTAAAGTTCAAATAAAATACTGTATGAAATTGCAGAAAATGAAAAACATCGATAAAATGAAATTGTCGAAGTAAGAAATTGTTGTGGTCGGGGACCTTTTGCACAAAGCTCCATAGTGCTATTTACAGATGACTGGAGCAGTAATTAGTAAAAGAAGATTCCTTTTCAAATTCAAATATTATATTTAAATTAAAAAAAAAAAAACTTCCTTTGTCTCAATCTTATCCACCTTTTGTCTTTTATCTTAAACTTATTCAAATGAATCGTGTTTGTGGAATAAAATTGACGTAGGCAATTTATTGACTTTAGACTCTAATTTTATATAGGAGTCTTTTATGATAACAATATTAAATTATTATCACTAAAAGGACACCCCTCTTCTTCCAATCAACTAATGACATGTGGCTGAATTAATATCTTTTCCTCCAATCAACCAACACCATGTGTCTAAATTGAAAATTAAATTTAGCATGCAAACAATGCCCCCTAGCTCTTTGAAATAAGGGCAGACCAAAATTTTAAAAAGTTGAACTGATGGATCACAATTTAAATCAGTCATTCTTATTCAGACCTTTGCATAACTAACTAGTCCCTACATCTTTCTGACAATTCTTCGATTGCTTTTCCGATCAGCAGCTTATTACGGTCAGCCCCTTTTTATTTCGCTTATCAACAATCTTTCAGCCACATCCTAACTACGGCACATTCACCATACAATCATTTTGAGCACTTAATCAATTGAGGTGTTGATCAAACCTTACCACCAAAGTGACAAGTAAGTGGTTTAGGTGCAGGATTGAATTATGTAGAGGCTGATTGTGTTTACCCCCCCGGGTAATCTCCAATCTCAGCACTAAATTGTTGACATTTGCAACCAAAACGTGCATATTTGGCTGTCAATCGACAACTCATAATTTAAATCGGTCACAATAACCGATTCTTCTTTGGTACCCCAAGTGGTTGAGCAACCTAATGGGTCATCCAGGATTGAACGAAAATCCTTTCGGCCTCTTAGGGCTTCTTAGAACGAACGAGTTGCTCCCCAAGGACAAGTAAGCCTTGGTTCAAAATTATATTTTTTTTTAGCCTCTTTAGGTGTCTTTAAGGTTATTGAATTCAACACCTAAACACCATTAACCCTTCCCAGAGGCTTTTTCAATGCTTGACATATGTAAAGCTTGATATCTATCAGTTCTGCAGCATCAACTTTAATGCCAATTTAAGCCTTTGTCCAATGAATCTCATAAGTAGGATCTTTGACATAATTATTATTCGACGCCTCTATCACATGAATTTTATAGTTTGGGTCCCTGTAATAGGTACCCCTACAGGCATTCTTTCTATCTTGTTCTTCTTTCAAGACCTTTTCATATCTTGTAGCACTAGAGGCTAGTTGGAACAAGTCCTGAAATTGCATTCCCTCAAATTTCTTTCGTAATTCAAAGTCTAAACCATTTAAGGCTAGACTAATATATTCAGTTTCTGGAAAGGCTACTTAGCATTTGTGTTTCGCCCTTTTAAACCTACCAATAAAGGCTTCAGCTGTTTCTCCAAGCATTTGGGACAACCTAGATAAGTCAGCCATCGACACCTTTGGTTCGGTCTTATAAAATTGGGTATAAAACATTTCTTCCAATTGTTGCCAACTATAGACCGAATTTGCCGATAAACTTATATACCAATAAAATGCAGTCCCTTTAAGGGAATTAGCAAATAACCTTAATTTTAAGAATTCATTCGCTCCAGCCTTACCACATTGAATGGTACCGACCAATATGTTCTATAGTCGAAGTGTAGTCTTCTCCCGAAAATGTAACGAAATCGGGAACTTTATAACCTCTTGAAAACGCATATCAGTCTATATAACCCAGATATGGCTTCCTATATGTAAGGCGACCAACTCTTCTTGGGGATGGTCCATAAGTTTCTTGAATTAAATTAGCCAATTGATCTTTATCAACCATAAGGGGTTGATGGTTTGGCTGTTGTGCTTGAGGCTGATGCATATAAGGTGCTTGAGGATGAGACACATATAACACCTGAGGCTGAGGCACATTAGGCACCTAAGGCTGAGGCACATACGACGCCTAAGGCTGAGGCACATACGACGCCTAAAACCAGTATTAAAATTATCTCGCCCCTCTTGGGGCTGACACACCTGCGGTTGGTGTTGATAAATCGGATTAAGTGGTGGCCAATTCACATTCTTATTGCACCTCCGATTATTTGGTTCTCCGCTGGTGTCTGATGTTGTAGCTGATTAGGTTGTGATTGATTAGCCTGGGGTTGATACTGTCCATGCAACGACTGCAGAAGGGGTTGAAACCCTTGCTGCTATTGTTGGTAATAATTCTGTTGAACACCAATAGGCGCTAGAACTTGTTGTTATGCATGCAACAAAGTATCTGTAGTATTTTATTGTGCGTGTTGATCAAACCTTGTTGATAGAACGGTTAAAGAGTTATTCAAATTAGCAAATGTGTTATGGATTGGCTCTAGTGCTCCATGAAAAGTACACATGGAAATTTATATCCGTTGCACTAAGTTGTTAATATTTTCACCCAACATCTGATTACTTGGCTGTTGATTTACTTTGATTTCAGCCCCTTATTCCTGATGTTGAGGCTATTTCTCAGACAAATTTTGCTACTAAGACCGAGTAAATGCCATATGTAAAATTTAGACACTTTTGGTGTTCCACCGGGAGTGCCAAATTGTTTGGCTCTTTTTTTTTTAGGGGCATGCCAGAGTCTTTGAACCCAAGGGGTTGGATAGCCAAACTATCCTTGGTGCTGACCGAATTCGTAATCGGCTCTTTTGTGAATAAGGCGACTGCTGGAAGACAAGGATGACCCCTTCCTTCAGGTTCTTCAACGCCTCAATAAAAAGGACTTTCAGCACTATATGTAGAATGGATGAAAGGAGTAAAACAAATTACACAAGCATTCATCTATTCCAAGAGACTTAAAAAATAAAAGTAGAGGGGACTGAAGCCAAGCATCGACTTTTATTTTATAAGTAAAATTCTCATACAGAGTACAAGAAGTGTAAATCTAACACTATGCTACTCCTATGAACAGAAGTAAAGTACAAGTAAAAGACTATATGAAATTGTAGAAAATGAAAAATATCGATAAAATGAAATTGTCGAAGTAGGAAATTGTTGTGGTCGGGGACCTTTTGCACAAAGCTTCATGGTGCTATTTATAGATGTTTGAAGCAGCAATTAGTAAAAGAAGTTTCCTTTTCAAATTCAAATATTATATTTGAATTAAAAAAAAAAAAAAACTTCCTTTTTCTCAATCTTATCCACCTTTTGTCTTTTGTCTTAAACTTATCCAAATGAATCGTGTTTGTGGAATAAAATTGAAGTAAGCAATTTATTGACTTTAGACTCCAATTTTATATAGGAGTCTTTTATGATAACAATATTAAATTATTATCACTAAAAAGACAACCCTCTCCTTCCAATCAATTAATGACATGTGACTGAATTAATATCTTTTCCTCCAATCAACCAACACATGTGTCTAAATTGAAAATTAAATTTAGGGTGCAAACAAAAACCATAGTCTTCATCCTCTATTGCTGGCCGCCGCCACCTTCCTCCACCGGTCTATCATTTAATGAAACCCTAGTCTTCATATTTTAAGGACAAGATTGTGATTTTTTGGAGAAAAAAGAAGTACTTGGGATTTGATTTAACCCATAACAAGAATGGGTAATGCTCATTTATTTTTATTTTAAATTTAATTTTAGACGGTGGCTGAAGGGTAAATATTGGATGTCTTGCATTGCTATACCTACTCAATGACAAAGTATTACTTAAAAAAAATGGTCCACTCACTTATAAAATTGCTAATAAAGAGATAATATGTTATATGATAAATATATTGATTAATGATTTAGCGTAAACCGTGTGGTTGTGTTTGTGCGTGTGTGTGTGTGACAGGATGTATGGCAGAACCAACTTTGTTGGCTTCCAACCATTGTGTCATATATAGATGTGAGACCAAATTAAAATAACTTAAATTGAAATAATTAAATCTAGCTAAACATGGATCATACTAGACCAACCTCAAACTAAAATTTAAATTGTAAAGAAATAAACAAAATAGTAAAAAAAAACGCGGTGAGAGAGAAGAAGAAGAGAGTCATGCCAGATTCTTTTTAAAAAAAAAACGCGCACACACTTGGATTTCGGATAAACCCATAAGAATGAGTAATGCCTATTTTATTTTTTAATTAAAATTTCAACAAATATCTCAATTGTATTGGACCACAGGCATTAACTATGGACCAAACATTTGCCAAATTGTTTTGTCAGAATATGAATTATTTGATCTACACAGCAGTCCATGGAGTGTGAACCTGAATAATTCACAATAGTCCAATAGAGAGAGAGAGAATTCACTATATTCCGAGAGAGATTTCGGATAAACCCATAAGAATGAGTAATGCCTATTTTATTTTTTAATTAAAATTTCAACAAATATCTCAATTGTATTGGACCGCAGGCATTAACTATGGACCAAACATTTTCCAAATTGTTTTGTCAGAATATGAATTATTTGATCCACACAGCAGTCCATGGAGTGTGAACCTGAATAATTCACAATAGTCCAATAGAGAGATAGAGAATTCACTATATTCCGAGAGAGAGAGAGAGAGAGAGAGAGAGAGAAAAGTCTCAAGAAAATCCAACCTCCTTCGCTATGGCGACTTGATAACTCTTCTTCACGTGTTCCCTACCACAAGATCAAGAAACAAGAACAAGCTCAGACTCCTCCGTCTCAAAGCTTCCACTTGACACTGTCTTTCAAAGACATCTGCAGTATCAATTTCCCAAACGTAACCACTCTCGTGTTTGAAAAAAAATGTTGGTACTTTGTACACATATGGACGGAGGGCCCCAACTGATAGAAAAAAAATCTACAACCCGGTAGGCTATATATCCAGCACTTTGAAGAAGTAGAAAAATGAACTTAAACAATTAAGAAAATAGAAAAATGGGAAGCAGCAGCAATATTATTCCAAAAGTTAGAGTAGGAGGTTCAAGTAGCATTCCGGTGCTGGGATTCGGAACAGCTGTGTTCCCTTTTGTTGGATCAGAAACCATGAAAGAATCCATCCTCCATTCAATCAGACTTGGCTACAGACACTTCGACACCGCGGCTGTTTACAACTCCGAACCGTCTCTTGGTGAAGCCATAGCAGAAGCTCTGTGCCTCCGCCTCATTACGTCTCGTGACGAGCTATTCATCACCTCAAAGCTCTGGTGCAGCGATGGACACCCTCACCGTGTCCTCCCTGCACTACAAACCTCTTTGCAGTACGTAGTATATTTATATATGCATGTACTACCAAATTAATTAGCGCAGCTAGTCACAGAGTATTGTTCATTAATTAATGGGTACCTGCTTAGATATGTAACATTTCTTTTTCTTTTCTAATTCTATAATTTTTTTGTGTTTAGGAAGCTTGGATTGGAGTATATTGATCTTTATCTCATCCACTTTCCGGTGAGCTTGAAGCCAGAAACCGGCCATGAGGTGCCTTTCAATAAGGAGAATATTGTTCCCATGGATTTCAAGTGTGTTTGGGAAGCCATGGAGGAGTGTCATAGACTCGGCCTCACCAAAAACATTGGAGTCAGCAACTTCTCTTGCAAGAAGTTAGACCAGTTACTTCTAACTTCAAACATCACTCCCATGGTCAATCAGGTAAGTTTTTATATTTTCAGCAAGCTAGCTATCATCATAATTATGTTTAGCCATGGGTAAAATTTCTTCTTCCACTTGCATATGAACTTTTTTTTTTTTTTTTTCTCTTCTTATTATTCCTCTTCTTTTTTATTTTATTTTATTTTTTTATTATATTTTTTCCCCTCCCTTCTTCTTTTTCTTTAAATTTACTAGTGTAATTTATGAATTTAATATCTTTATTTATATTTCTGATTTTTTCTTTACTACAATTTCATACAATTATTGATATGCTATTTGAAACTTGATTACTGTATTCTATTTTTAGGCTTGCTGTTTTGCTGCACGGCTGGAAAAAGAGTTTATTTTATCATGTTCAATTCAATTCAATTTGTCCGTCCTGAAATAAATCTCTGAATCCATGGGTGGCGAGTAGCCGATCTGAACTCCCAATTTCAAGTTAAGGGTGCAACTTGGGTTAGGTAACCCGGATCTTATTCGGGCTCAGTCCGAATTTTCACGGGTTTAGGCAATTATTTTTACAATTAGAGTTGGATTTGGGTTGAAAAATCTCAATTTAATTAGGATTGGCCTTGGATTAAAGTGCTAACAACCCGAGCCAATCCGAATCCGAATTATAATATTATTTTGATATATATTTTTACTTTTAAATACATTATATATAGTATTTAAATTATGATTAATTTTTTTCTTTTAACTTCTTTGGTTAAATCTTAATTTATTGTATGTTAATATTTAGGAGAATTAATTTTTAAAAAAATTGTTTATAATTTGTTAAAAATCTACATAAAAAATTTAAATTTTTTCTTGTTTAAGTGTAATTTAATCTAAATCTAATTCAAGATCATATTAAATTTTTGGTGTAAGGATTAGTTATATGAGTAACCCGAATTAATCTAAAATTTTTACCCGAAATCTAAGCCCTAATTTTAAAATAGAAGGATGGGTTGGGCATGAGTTGAGTAGTTAAGGTTGAGAATAGGGTTGGGGTTGAGCTCGGGTTTAGTATTTAATATGGTGGATTAGGCTCAAGTTATATCTCAAATCCGCCCAATCTGCCCGAGCTATAGCCCTAATTCAAATCACTGTGTCACTCAGAAGCAGATTTCAATGAGTATTCAACTTTGCCATGTTATTAATTTGTAAATATATCAATTTTTTTAATTGCCTTATTAAACCTCTTTAATATTTAAATCTATCAACTCGCTTCCTCCCCCTCATGTGTGTCTTTTTTTTTTTTTTTTTGTCTAAACACGTGTTACAGTTTTAATTATCACGATGACGGTAAAGTTTGAACAAAGGTCCATAATTAACTCCTCTGAAACCATGTTAAAAACCATCTATTCTAGAAACTTAAAGTATTACCTTGAATATTTAACTCTGTCAACAATATCTATTGTTTGAATCACTCTAAATTATCATTTTGATGTGATATTTTTAAGCGTCCGTTTGGTAGAAATTTTTGATGAAAAGTGAAAGTGAAAGAAAGTAAAGGAAAAGAAAAGAAAAGAAAATTAAGTTTCCATCACATATTTGGTTAGTAAGAAATTTTTTCAAGAAAGTTGTGAGAAAATATTGTTTTGTAAGTTTGGAAAGAGTGAAAGTGAAAAGAAAGTGATTGCAATTTCCAAAATTACTCTATTAATTATAAGATTACTTTATACTCTTTTGAGACATATCTCCAGAATTATAAAAAAAATTAAAATTTCAAATTAAAATTAAAATTCAAAGATGAAATAATGAACATTATAATATTTGTCTTCTGACGTTTAATAATTAGATATATGTGATTATAGGTATAAGTTTAATTAATAAAAGATTTTAATCGAAAAATCTTGAGGATAAAAAGTTGAAGTTAATATAAATATTTTTAGTCATAGAAAAAAAGAAAAAGAATAAAAGTTTCAGTCTAATCAAAATAAAGTACTTGGAACTAAATTAGTTTGGTACTTGGAACTAAATTAGTTTGATACATCTAATATACGTAGAATTAAAATTAAATAAGTTTGGTACATCTAGTATAGTATACGTTGAGTAGTTGAGTCCTAAAGTCACGAAAAGTATTTGTATAAAAAAAATACATGCATGAATTAAATTATAATTTCAAAACTTGCATACACAAGGAAAAAAATACAATAAAAATTTAATTTGTATGCACATATAAAATTAAATACAATTAAATTAGTATTACATTATCTTATAAGCAATTTACAAAAGAAGGAAACTCACTTGTTAGAGAAGTTTGTGGAGAAAGTGAAGAGGGTGACATGGGCATAATAGGAAACTAAGATATGAAAGTACCACTTTCACGGGAAAGTAAAATTTTCTTGAAATTTTTTGAGAAAAATTAAGCCGTTGCAAAAAATTACTTTCCTGAAAATTTTCTATTTCACGCTAACCAAACACCTAACAAATTTAAATATTTTCCGTTTCTTTTCCAATCTATCTACTTCATGCTAACCAAACAAACCCTAAGGCTTTGTTTGGTTACCGTGAACTAACTAGAAAAGAAAAGAAACTTCAATTTTTTTAACAAATTTAGGGGTTTGGTTAGCGTAAAAAGGTAAAAATGTTTCATCCATAAAACATGGGAAAATTATTTTCCATGAAAGTTGTATCTTTGTATTATAATTTCTTGTTATGCCCTCATCAGTTATTACTCTTCTTTCTTATCTAGTCTCACAAAAGAACCGAGTTTTCTTCATAAATAAATTAGCACTCCTATTAGGTTACAATTTCCTTACCCTTAAATTAGGACTCTTTTTCATACTCACAAACAAGCAAGCTAATTTAAAAGAGAGTCCTAATAAATAATACAAACTTAAAAAAAAAAAAAAAAAAACCAATTACTAAATGTGTATTTGATCATATGTATATATATATATATGTATCCTCATATATAAACCTAACTATACATAAGTTAATTCTTTTCCCTTTCATGCTATCCAAACTAATGAAACAATATTTTCCTATGAATTTCTATAAAAAAATCATGCTAACCAAATGTATAATAGAAAGTTCTTTTCCTTCCTTTCACTTTCTTTTCCTTTCACTTTCCATCATCAATTTCTTGCTTACCAAACCGACCCTAAGTTCTTTATGATGCACTGCAGAATTTTGGACTGTTAATTGACAAGTCCATTTTCGACTCGAAAGAAGTGTTTTTTGGGTGGAAACTACCCATTGAGAAACACCCACTATAACTTGTGGGTCATGCCAGTTTTCGGCTAAAAGCATTTGTTTGGGGCTTAGAAATCGTCTTTTTTTTTTTTTACAGAATATTTTGTTTTTATTGATTAGGTTTCTTATTCTATTTTTTCAAAAATCTTAAAGAATTTTTATTTTTAAACTTATTTTTAGGATTAATTTCCTTACGTTTTTAGTTTCCTTCTTGTTATAGGTTTTCAATTTTCAAGTACTAATTAATTAATTGATGCGATTTTCTGAGAAGATGACTGATGTGAAAAGCATTATATTCTTAATTCAAGGTGGAGATGAGCCCACTTTGGCAGCAGAATAAGCTCAGAGAGTATTGTGAAAAAAAGGGAATCCATGTCACTGCTTATTCACCTTTAGGGGCAAAAGGAACACCATGGGGAACCAACCAAGTCTTGGACTGTGAGGTTTTGAAAGAGATTGCCGAGGCCAGGGGAAAGACAGTTGCTCAGGTAAAAGAACGTATAATGTTACTCTAACCGATAATTCAAACCTATTAGTCCAAAAACATGAGTTCCACTTGAAAAAGCCTTGGGGCTAATGATTTAGATCTAACTTGTTAGCTCAAATATCAATTTTCTAGTTAGAATTTCCATATAAATGTATAAAAATAGAGAGTATATTTATAACTGTTTTCATCTTTCTGCATGTATAGGTTTGTTTGAGATGGGTTTTCGAGCATGGCGTAAGCGTTCTTGTGAAGAGCTTTAATAAGGAGAGAATTAAAGAGAACCTTGAGATATTCGATTGGACACTAAGCCCCGAGGACTGCCACAAGATCAGTCAAATTCCACAGCAGAAGGGGGTTTCTGGAGTTGAATTCATATGGGATGGAGGCCCATATAAATCTGTTATTGAGTTATGGGATGAGAAGATCTAATTCATGTTAAATCCACAAATCCTGTAAACAAGAACTGCATAATCAAGCTAAGTTGGCCTTGAATAATGGAATATCTAACATGATTGATATTTGTCAGCGATCAATATGTAAGATTATTTATTAATTATGTGGCCTACATAATTTGTACATGTGATATATTTCATTAATTAGTGGTTAAGTAAATAGATATCGGATTAAAATTATATTATTTGGTCAAATTATAAATTACCTTTATGGTAATTAATTATTGGAGAATTTTTTTCCTATTTATTCCTTACTTTGATGGAAAGTGGAATTAAAGTTACTAAAAGGAAAATTGGTCCTCTCTCTGCTTTTATAAAAATGCATATATACCATCAATTATGTACGCTAATGAAAACAATAGGTATAATGTTTATGTGTGCAAAAGGCCAAGAGAGAGAAATCAGTTTCCACACGCTTTGGCTATTGTTTGTACTTGCAGTTTATCATGTTGTTGTTCCACAAAAAGGATCTCGATGTTTGGCTTGATCTCAACAAGATTTGTAATTACAGATTGAGGTATTTATATCTAACTACTTTATTTATGCATTATAGCAATGTGAAGATAATGAAGTTCTAAGATCTTATAATTCATGTTTATTTGTGACTAATGGTTTTCATGAATTATTGAGCTTACATGTTGTATCAGAGCTTATGGTTTAGGATCTCACTATTTTTCACTAATGTTGCATAAATAACAATAAAATTAAAATTAAATAATTGATTAATATTTTCTTTTGGAATTAGTATGTATAGGCACACAGTGTGCGTTTTTTTTCCATAGATGAACATATTGTACAATTATGAACTGAAATTACCAATTACTCCACCTTATATTCATTAGACTGTTGGGAAAATCCGAGGCGTGTAGATCAATTTTTTTTTACTCGTATTTTACAAACTTTCAACTGCTTATACAAAAGTAAAGAAAAGACTAATTGACAATCAATATATATGAGTTTGTTTCTTGATTTCTGTGCATAATTGGAATAACACTGAAATTGAAAGTTTTAATAGAATTATGTTTGTTATTGTTCTGAAGAAACTTATTGCTATATAAGTTGTTGTCCAATAATTCAAAGATTTTATTTTAATTATTTAAAATAAAAAATAAATTATTAAATACAAAAAAACACATGTCACATGTATTTATTTATTTTATTGAAAATCTGAATTTCTAGAATAATATGTGAGTTCAGAAATTTAATTTGATCTTATTGGACATACAAATAAATGATTGTTTTGTACCCAAATATATATACATGATGGAGAATCAATTTTAGATTGATTCAATTATGATCTCTAAGTCTAAAAATAAAAATAATATGTTTTATTATATATATATATAAAGTAAAATGATATTTTTATTGAATTTTCGGACTATTAAGTTCCTGAGATTGAACCTTCTTATACTAGGATCGATCAATATAAGTATGAGTGTATAATGTTAAATGGGTAAATTAATGATTAATTAGTTACTAGCTAATTTAATATTCATATTATATTATGGTTAGTAGCTACCAAAGTGGTCTAACCATAATGATTGATGAATATTAATTTTAGTAGTAAACATAATTAATGATGAATTAGTTACAACTAATCTAATATTCATATTATGTAAAGGTTGGTAACTGCCAAAGTGGCCTAACCATAATAGTTAATATTAATTTTAGTAGTAAACATAATTGCAATATTTCATGAATTATTGATACTTATGATTTCTTATGATATTCATAAATATTGAGTTTATTTAATCATGAGAAATAATTTCCCAAAGGGAATTGATTTTCAAGTGACTAAATGAACATTAAGGAATTGTATGTATTTTTTAATTGGGTAGATATAGGATATCCAAAGGTAACTTGTCTGTTTAATTAAATAATGCGTCACCAATAAAGGTATACATATAAATACATGTAAGCATCATTATTAGTATTTTATAGTTGCCACCCAAAGGAGTACTATAGTTATACATTGTATTTATATTTTAAATTATATATATGATGAGCGCTGAAAAGTGCGCTTTTAAACCCCTTAAGTTTGAGTATTCTAGGACCTTTATCTATCTTATTTTCCTATTTTAGTACTTATTTGTGTTTTTGTCTATTTCAGGTCAATAATATTAAAATGAGCTAAAAATGGTTTCTTAAGGCCTTTTTGGAGTCAAACTAAGTCTTAGTGATGATCCGGAGCAAAAAGAGGTTGATTTGGAGTAAAAAGAGGTTGATGCTGAAAATCTGCCAAGTTGGATCGATCCAACTTTTTCTGAGATCGATCGCTTTTTCTGAGATCGATCAAAGTTGGATCGATCGAAAATCAAAGTTGGATCGATCGAACTTTTCTCTGATCGATCGAACTTTTTCTCTAATCGATCGAACTTCTGTTGGTAGCGAGCTATCTTATTCCCGTGTGCGTCCAAAAGTCCACCTACCGCATAGTACGGGATTAGATATTTTTGGGACTATATTCCTAACTTAGTGACTAAGAAAATGACCTTCTATATAAAGGGAAGTGACCTATTTTGTAAAGAACTTTTTATCTTTTTATTTTTTACATTGTATTTTTTTATTTCTCTCTCTAGCAAAGTTAGAGATTAGGGTTAGAAGAAAAAAGGGAAGTGGAGGCACATCTCAAGATCCATCTCTAGACCACACTCTCTCTCTATCTCTAGAGCTTCAAAGAAGAAGAAGAAGAAGAGGAAGAAGAATATGGAGCCATATTTGGAGCTTGATTCCATGACCACATCCACCTCCTCCATAATTGGCTAGATCTATACTTAGGGCTTGGATGAGCCCTAAGTCTTGTGTAGTCTAAACCCTTGTAATTCTATTTTTGAGGATTTATATATATATTGTTGTGATTAGTGTTCTAGCTTTGTGAATTTAATGAATCTTGGTGTATTTCTATGATTTCTATGGTTTAGTTCTTCCTATTAATTCTCTAGTTTATTTACATGTCTATGTGTGATTAAATTGGGAATTATTTCTTACCTGATTCATATGGATTAATTCTTTCTATTGATTCTCTATTTGATTACATGTTGTCTTATATGTGATTATTTGGGAATTAATCTCTACACTAGATTATTTATATTAGTTGCATGTCTATGTGTGATTAATTAAGGATTTAGTGATGGCTAAGTATGGGTTTTCATTGAATGGGTTTGTCAATTAATTTGATGGTTTATACTTATGCTCGATGGCTTGTTCTACAATTTAATTCATGCTTGTAGGTAAGTAGCCAATCTATACTTGCTTAGATATTCCATAGCTTATTATTGCAAATTCCATAATTCTTTAGATTGATGTGTGCTACAATTGTTGCTACTTAGATGGGTCATGCTTAAAATTGATGGGTTGTGCTACACTTAGTTTAGGTAGACAATTCATACATAAATTAGATGGTCCATACTTAATATTGTAATTGGTAGTCGCATTTTGTTCACAACAATGTATTCCTCATTAATGGAAAACAAGTGGTTAATTACACGAGCTTAGTGGTGATTCCAGCACCCTAAGTCCTCTCTTCATATCTCTTAAGTCCCTATCTCTACTTAGTTTATTTTAATTGTATTTTCATTAATTGAAGTAGTTTAATCATCTCATCAAATCTCTTTTGTAATCTTGTGATACGCTAGAGTTGAAGTTAAATTCCAACACGTATAATCCCTTGGGACGATCCCTACTCACTCTTGCTACATTAGTAGTAGTGTTGGTAGTGGTTTTTATAAATTTAAATTTGACCTAAAAGGCTTTTCTTGAACCACACATTCACTACATTATTTTGGCGTATACGAGCGGTCTCGTCAATATACGTGTTGTTAACTCAAAACATTATTGTTGTGAGTATTTTATTTTATTATATTTGTTTTATTATATCTCTTAATGTGCATGCTACATCTGTTCTGATTCTCAATAGGACTAACTTTTCATAATGGAATGAGTAAGTTGAGTTCAAAATAGATGTGTTAAATCTTAATTTAGCATTTTAAGTTGAGAAACCTACTGTTATTACTAATAAAGACAGTAAGGGAGAAAAGATTCTTCATAAAGCTTGGGAGAGATCGAACAGATTAAGCATTATAGTTATGCGACTAATTGTTTTCCATAGTGATAGTGCTAAGGAATATTTGATTAGAAGAATGTTTTCCATATTGTAGATAAATATCTAAAATAAAAATTATTAATTTATATCACTACTATGCAATTTTGTTGGTACTCTTACCATGTATGGGTATGTTCTTAAGATAACTAATGTTGCTACAAAATTGAGAATCTTATGGATGAGAAATTTCTCATTAAATTTATTCTCAATTTATTGTCCACTCAGCATGGGTCATATCGAATTAAGACAAGTGGAAGTGAATGAATTGACCATTATGTTAATTTAGGAGGAGATAAGGCTTAAGCAGCAAGGTAATCATTATGTTCATCTGATGACTTAAGAAGCTAGAAAGAAATTTGGGAATAAGCCTAAAAAGACATTAAGTGAGCAATACCCAAAATTAAAAGATTTAGGTCAATTTACTAAAAGAAATGAATGTAATAATGTAAAAGTATCATTTATGTATTGAATACTTTTAGAAAGATTACATGAAACATAAAGGATGATTCGAAAAAGAATAGTAAACCTTTGTTTTTTTGAATATTTTGAATTATTTATTGAAATTCTTTCTAATACATATTAGGTTGACTTAAGTACTAATATTTATGTTTCTAATAAATGCAAGGATTACTTATCGCCTAAACCACAAATTTAAATGAGAATTTCTTATTTATGATAATTGAGAAAAAGTTTTGTTGAAATCATTGAGACATTTTATTTAGTCTTAGACAATGAATTTTATTTAAATTATTTTAAACTCTTAATATTTCTTCAATTTCCCATAATTTGATTTTATTTCAAAACTTTATGTTAATGATTTTTTCTTTTAAATTTGATAACGATATTTATTCAAAAATTTCTAATTTTTGAGTTATAGTATTCTTATTGATGATTTCTGTAACGACCCAGTCATTTGCCTTCCTTTCCTTTTTCTTGAAATTTTACGAATGAATTTTTTTCGTTTAATTTTCTTTTCTGAGCTCTGTTTCGTATCGCTTAGTATCATCTCGAGTGCTCGGAATTGGTTTCTGAGACTCTTTCA